AAACGAGGGAGAGAAGAAAAATAAAATAAAAAGAAAAAAAATAAAAGATCACCAGTTCTGGATCAGTAGAATTGCAGTCTTAGTTGTTCCTTTTCTCCTTTAGCATCCAGTCCTGTCTGTGTCTCCCTCTAGTTGCAGCTGGAGTGGGAGCCTGGTGCTGCTGTTCTCTGCAAAGCCTGTAGAGCTCAGGCCAGGCTTTGCCCCAGGGGCAGGGATCCCAGCAGGCTGAGGGATGTGGCTGTCTTATCCCGAGCTGGTGCCTGGCCCAAGGGGGGGAATGGGGGAGGCATGGATCCAGCAGGGCCAAGGAGTGGGGTCCCCATGGGGTGTGGCTCTGGCCTTTCCACATGGAGGTGGGACCCATGGCTTGTGGGGGAGGATACTGGCAGAGCATGGATCCAGTCATCACATGAGGAGCTGGGGCCCAGCAGGGCCTGAGGGATGGGGGACTCTAGTGGCGGGGATTCCTTCAGGGTGTGAATCTGGCTCGGGGCTGGTGTCCGGCACAGCCTAGGGACGGGGATCCTGGTGGTGCATGGATCTGGTGTGGCTCAGAAGGCCGGGATTCAGGGAGGGTGTGGACCCGTCCCCAGCTTGGGGCCGTGTGTGGCCTGAGGGGCCGGGAGCCCAGCAGAGCGGAGCAGCTTTGCAGGGGTCTCTCCTTTTCCTCTTCCTGTTCCCACTCTTTGTTGAAGATGGTGGTTTCCAGGTGCAGGAGTAGTGGAGGGGCAGAGTCATCTGGAGGTCACAGAAGCTCCTCATGGCCAAAGTTGGAATTCCCAGGACTGGTGTGCTATTGTGAGTTGTCTGGTGTGGCCATGACTGGAACACAGCCTTCTTCAGCTGCAGCACTGCTGTGCTTCTTACAGCTGGGTGGAAAGTGGGAAAAATCCAGATTGCCTAGCTACAGAGGGGGCTGTTTGGCCAACCGCTCCCTGCCCAAGGATTCTAGGCCTAATGGAAAGGTTAAATAGAAATTAATTGTTTTTCTATTTCTGTGTGTCTGATGTTGTTAATGATTACTTTGGATCCAAAGTTTAAGAACTTTCAGTAAGATTTAACTTTTGAGTTTCTTGAAGTTTTTGACATGAATGTTCCCTGCCAAGGGTGCTACTTACAGGAGCTTCTTTCTCTTTACAGCTTGTACCTTGTTTAAAAGTTGGCAGGACAGACTATAGTCCCTTCATTACCAATTCTTGTTGAAGGAAGTTGTTGCATCCCTTCTGGTTAGTACTTTTTTTTTTGATGCTTTTATTAGTATATAATAATTGTAAAAGGGGTTTCATTGTGATTATTTCTATATGTGCGTACTCTGGTTGGGTTCATCCCCTCTATTGTTCTCCTTGTTTCCCCTCCTCGTACTTAAAGGACTTCAATAGGACTGTTCCACATTCATACATGTATAGAAAACACATCAATCATTTTTACCCTCCTTTACCCTCTTCATTTACCCTCACCCCCCCAGTACTGTTCTCCCCTTTTTAACATTCGTGTCCATTATTTAAGTGTCTGTTCATTGTCCAGTGGGATTTTACCTGTAAATATATTGTATTTTAATCAGTCTAACCCCCTCTGTTACTTTCCTTACCCTTCCCCTTATCCTGTATTGTTTAGCAATTTTCACTGTGTTCTGTAGTGTCTTGTTCCTCCTGCACAGATGCACTGTATTCCACTATCATTCACTCTTTATCATTTTCTTCTTTCTCTAATCTCCTCTAACAGTCCTGCTTTTGGAAATGTGTTCTGTATACATATGTATATATGATAATGCTAGTATTTGCATTTGGATCTAGCTTCTACATACGAGAGAAAACAGGTATTTCTGAACTTGGCTTACTTCAATGTGAATTTCAAAATTTCATTCTTCATTATGGCTGAGTAGTATTTCATATATACTACATACATACCATGATTTCTTTTTGGAAGTATTGGGGTTTGAACTCAGGGCCTCATGCTTGCTAGGTAGGCACTCTACCACTTGAACCACTCTGCCATCCCCACATTTTGTTAGTCCATTCATAAGAAGACATCTGGGCAGTTTCCATAGTGTCCCAGGTGGCTAAGATACAGGCATGAGCCACCAGTACCTAGCTTATGTTTCCTCCTCTAAGTTGATTATTTCAGGTTTTTGTCACAAAGACAGAAAGCTGACTGACACACAGACATCAGTGATCATCGTTGGCTCATTATTTTTTCTCCAATGTTATTGAAGTATCACCGACATACAAAAATATATAATTTGGTGAATATGAACCCAAATCAGTTACTACTTTAAGCTTTGCAAAATGGTAATGTTCTAACTACATCATTCCTTCCGTCTTTGTTGGTGGGAAATTGATATAAAGAGAAAATTGTCCTCCTCAGCCATTTAGTTGTTACACAATTATTATAGGAAATTATTATAAAATAACAGACAATGTACACACTTCATTTATTCCCTTATATTTATTGCTCGTTTTTCAAAGTAAAGCACTGGTTTCTTAGCATTCTTCAGAGTAGGCCAATGAATTTATTTTACTTTTACTGTAAAATCATTGCTGATCTAAACAAATTTGCCATGTTTCAATTCACTGCAATTGTCAAACACATGTTTTCTCAAATTGTTGCATCTTTGTTCAGTGGGAAACTTCTCAAGTTGTCTCCTAGTTCTTTTGACATAACCACAGCATTCTCTGACAGTTTCATTGTTTTGTCACCATGTAATCCAGCCTTACCTTTATATTTTTGCTGCACTAAGAGGACTTACTTCAGTCTATTTCCCAGACTAACAGCTGTAAAGCAGCATTAATGCTACAGTTTGGGAGCTAGGTGTAGTCATGTTCTCGTATAGATTAGTCATACTCTTAGTCCTTTTCATTGCACAAAGTTCGAAAATAGGGGTTTTCATTTTTATTTTATTATTTCTGTTTTTCTTTTGGCTGGCCATTGTTTAATTTTTTTCAAGATATTTCTACATCAGACATAGTTTTGAAATCTACACTCCGTTGAGTTTAGCAATTATCCTTTTAGATACTAAAATTATGTGCCTTTAAGGAACAACATGTATAAAGCTACAACATGTCATTGCACAGAGATTAAAAACAAGGTTTACAATATTCTTTACCAATTACTGATTGGATAGTTTTACTGGGAGTACATATTTCAGACTTTTCAGTCAATTGGCTTGTATTTTTATTCCCAAACTGAATAGTATATTCACTTTTTCAAAAGCAGTGTAAGAATAAAGCAGTAGTAAAAATAAATTTTGTAGTAAAGACAGATTTTGCGTATTTGAAAGGTAATTGAGTTAGTGAATCACTTTTATTTTTAATTAATTAATTAATTATCATTATTTTATTTTATCATTTTAACATTTACTTACATGTATATACATTATTTGGGCCACCTCTCACACCTCTCCTCCGGTTTCTGGGAAGAAATCATTAATCACTTTAAAAAAAGAGATCCTTGTAATATCATTAAGTTATATGATACTGAGAGTGGGACCTTTCAATATTTTTTGTTTTGTTTGGTATGGGGTTTGAACTCAGGGACCTACACTTGCTAGGCAGGCCATCTACCACTTGTACCATACTCCAAGCCCTTTGTGCTTTAGTTATTTTTGAGGAAGTATTTTGCTTTTTGCCCATGGTTAGCCTTGGAGTATGATTCTCTTATCTACACCTCCCATGTTGGAAAAAAATGTTCAATGTACAAATAAGAGGCCCAAATGACAGGCTGTAGCAATTTCATCATCACTTACATTTTTCTTGGTCTCAAAATAAAGCCTTCAAGTATGCAGGCATGTAAATATCACAATGAAACATCCTTGTAGAATTTAATTATGCAAATAAAAATTTTAAAAAGAAATAAAGCATATGGCCTTATTAAACTTTCAATATCCTATCTTACTCATAGCTGTTCTTTGGAGATTGAGAAAGTATATACAACAAATGAATTTATTTTCACCATGGATAGCATATAGTACTTCTCTGCCAATGTTACTTGAAAACTTTCCTTGTCAAAGCAATTTGACAACTGAGATAAAGTTAATTATCTTTCATTACAGTCCTCCAAAGAGGCATGATAATTCATGCTGTTAACCTTAGGATCAACAGTGTATAGAATCCAAATATAAACAGTTGGGATGACTTTCAAAGTAACATTGGATCCCTCATTTTATTTAAAATTCCACTGTGACCAATACATTCATTTCATAGCCCCTATCATGCATTAAGCATTGAGCAGCAGGAATTAATGAAAACTTTTCCTGTCACAACATCCATTATTGGCAACAAACACCCCCAAACCACCAAGCATGTATGGAGTATTGCTATTGCTCAATACATGAGGACTTGGAACTTTCCCAAAAGCTTAAAAAAACAAAAAACAGCCAGATGCTGGTGGCTCACACCTGTAATCCTAGCTACTAGGGAGGCTGAGATGAGCATCACCATTTGAACACAGCCCAGGCAAATGATTTCAGAGATTTTCTCCAAAATAACCAGAGCAAAGAGGACTGGAGGTATGGCTCCAGTGGTAGATCATCTTTGCATATGTGAAACCCTAGTTCAAACCTCAATCCCACCCAGAAAATGAGCAGAATAATACTTGATGTTTCCTGACACTTGCCTTAATACTATATGACTAATGAAAGCATGTCAGTTGCCTGTACCAAAGCAATGGTCAATATGTGTCCAGAATGCATGTGATAAAAAAATGCAGTAAAAGAAAGTCATTTTCAATGCCTAAAGGTCATTTCTAGCTCAAGGTTAAAGTTCAAAATACTCATTTTCTCAGTAGGATAGGTTTGTGCTAGGAAGATGATAACAGTAGCTTCAACCACTATCCTTATGCTACCACACTTTTGTTTTCTTTGGAATCTTGTTACATGTTTGCACATAAAAGGAATTATCTGGTGGTCATCTATGAGGAGTGTCAAAAGGATATCAAGTACAAAACTTAAATAGAAGTAAAAGTTTTCCTCTTCATGTAATGTACCTGGTGTATGGAATTCACTGTACATTTAAAATTTGAACACTACATTTAAAGTAATCCCGAGACAAGGGTCATTTTGCAAAGTCAACAGTTCTTTTTTTAGCCTTTTTGTATCAACATCATTATGTTTTTCTTCTTTTTTAAAGATAAGATATCATGAGTTCATACTTACAGATAGATATTCTCTCCTAAAATTCCAGATTCCTAAGGATATCACAGCATGGTCAGGCCGCCTCAAACCTAAGCCACCTTTCCATTCTCCAGTGCCATGAAAACACTGATGTCAATTCAGAGGAAAGTGACTTCCTCACTTTCTCTATTTTTATAACCCTACTCAGAGGCCTGAGTCCCAAAAAGATCTTCTGTTTTAAGGAGAACTTTAGCATCATTGGCCACAGTGTCAAGGAAATAATTTTGCAAATAGAAGATCTTTGTAAAGTAAAGGCCACTGGCAACGAGCCCTCCAGTGGCAAGGATAATATTCTCAATATATTTCATCAGTTTTTCTCCTAAGGACTCATCTCTCTCCACTGACATTAAATGGGGAGACTTAATGTGAGCCTTGAGTTCCTTCACTGACACATGCAGATCCTTGGCCATGTTTTCCAGTGAGGCATCATCTAGCCTAAAGTAAGACCTGTAGAGCATTAAGGTCTCCTCCAGCTTCTCTACATCATTATCACTTATGAATCCCACCATAGGGACAATGGCTGATGCTCCAGCCTTCAGGGCCTCTAGCCAGACCTTCTGCTTCAGGGCTTCTCTCCTTCTATCAATAGCAGCCTCAGTAACACTGGGCAGGCACTGCATGAAGATGTAGCGCTTTTGAGCTGGCAGCTCCCTCAGAAGGGTGTTCTCCAGAGTAGGGAAGTCGTAGTCACACACATCAATGCTGGAGACTAAGAAAACTTGAGGAGCAGCCCCATCAACCTTATTCAGCTCTGCCACACAGCTATCTTGGATATTTTTCAGGACTTTGTCCTTTTTAAAGGTATTAGGTTTAGTCCTTTGCTCATTGTACAAATCACTGTCAACTTTTGTTCGAACAAAGTAGAACTTCTTCTTCATTTTCACAATGGCTTTGGCCAGTTTTTCATCATGTGCTTTGAAGCGTGTTGAAGAGATGATGAGGAAAAAGTCATACTCACCAAATCTCATTTCATTCAGATATTTCTGTGGTTGGAAATTAGTCGACCCAACACCAGGCAGGTCCCAAATTGTCACATTAGGAAACTTTGGGTGTTGGTACGGAGTTCTCACCATGGTTGTCTCAACCGCCCCAGTCGCAGCTGCACCATTTTCTTCATGCCCCACCCCCCGCAGGGCGTTGATGAAAGTGGATTTTCCTGACCCAGTTTCCCCTGTCACTGCAATGCTCAGTGGGGCATTCTCGAGATCCTTCAAGGCATCATTGATTGCAGAAAATGTCTTCTGAGTGTCTCCCTTCTCCATGTGTGATTTAATCAGAGTGATGGTTTCCTGAGAGAGAATTTTACTTTCCATCTTGTAATTCTTGAAAAACTTGTCAAAGCTGGAGGCTATATCATGAGTCTTAGTTTGAGAGGGTGTGGAGGAGGAAGTCTGACCCATGGTTGCCAGCAGTAGAGTACACTAGAGGAAGGACAGAGGTAGGAAATTCAAAAAGTTAGCACAACAGAGAAGAGCTTAGTTTTGATTTTAAAGCAGAACTTCAATCCTAGTCCCACATTATAGTTAGAGAAATCATTCCTTTCTATTCATGGATGTTTGCAGGACTTCTGTCCTGGGTATAGAGTTGCCCTTACCTCTGAATCCTTATTTTGGACTGCCCTGCTTCCTTAAAAGATTCTTCATTAATTTCAAGGTCTGATTTCTCTATCTAAGCTTTCCTGACTAATGTTATTCTTCATATGTTTTGGTCATTCTTATTCTTATGAAAATAGTGTTTACACCTGGCACCAACCTAATAAGAAGTAGTAGAATTACCACCTCCCTGCTTCCCACCTGTCATGTGAGAATACCTGACTTCAAGACACACTAATGGGGTGTTGATAAAAGAATAGGCAGATATACAAAATATATATAAACTCATATAAATATAATCTAACTGATCTTAGAGTAAAGTCAATGCAATAGAAGAAAGAATACTCTTTAAATAAAGGTGCTAGAACCACTAAACATCCACATGGAAGGAAGGGTATCTAAACAAAGATCTTACACCCTTCACAAAATTAATTCAAAATGGATGATAGAACTAAACAACCTATAAAATTCCCAGGAGAAAACCCAATGATCATGGGTTTGGTGATGGCTTTTTAGAGAAACCACCAAAAACAGAATCTTTGAATGAAATTATTGATAAGGTGGACTTTGCTAAAATTTAAAAGTTCTGTATAAAAGACAGTATGAAGAAAGTGACAAAACAACCCATCAACTGGGAGAAAAATCTTTGCAAAAAACATGTGTGTAAAGGACTGTGATCCAAAATACTGGAAGTACTCTTAACAGTGAATAATACATAAGAACAAACAACATCATTAAAAGTGGGCCAGCCACAAAAACAGACATGAAGACCAGTGGAACAGAATAGAGGACCCAGATATGAAGCCACACAACTATAACCAACTTGTCTTTGACAAAGGAGCTAAAAATATATGATGGAGAAACAGCAGCCTCTTCAACAAAAACTGCTGGGAAAACTGGTTAGCAGTCTGCAAAAAACTGAAACTAGATCCATGTATATCACCCTACACCAAGATTAACTCAAAATGGATCAAGGATCTTAATATCAGACCACAAACTTTTAAGTTGATACAGGAAAGAGTAGGAAATACTCTGGAGTTAGTAGGTATAGGTAAGAACTTTCTCAATGAAACCCCAGCAGCACAGCAACTAAGAGATAGCATAGATAAATGGGACCTCATAAAACTAAAAAGCTTCTGTTCATCAAAAGAAATGGTCTCTAAACTGAAGAGAACACCCACAGAGTGGGGAAAATAGTTGCCAACTATACATCAGACAAAGGACTGATAACCAGAATATACAGGGAACTTAAAAAACTAAATTCTCCCAAAACTAATGAACCAATAAAAAAATGGGCAAATGAACTAAACAGAACTTTCTCAAAAGAAGAAATTCAGATGGCCAAAAAACACATGAAAAAATGCTCACCATCTCTAGCAATAAAGGAAATGCAAATTAAAACCACGCTAAGATTCCACCTCACCCCTGTTAGAATAGCCATCATCAGCAACACCACCAACCAACAGGTGTTGGCGAGGATGCAGGGAAAAAGGAACCCTCTTACATGTTGGTGGGATGTAAACTAGTACAAACCACTCTGGAAAAAAATTTGGAGGCTACTTAAAAAGCTAGACATTGATCTACCATTTGATCCAGCAATACCACTCTTGGGGATATACCCAAAAGACTGTGACACAGGTTACTCCAGAGGCACCTGCACACCCATGTTTATTGCAGCACTATTCACAATAGCCAAGTTATGGAAACAGCCAAGATGCCCCACCACTGACGAATGGATTAAGAAAATGTGGTATCTATACACAATGGAATTTTATGCAGCCATGAAGAAGAACGAAATGTTATCATTCACTGGTAAATGGATGGAATTGGAGAACATCATTCTGAGTGAGGTTAGCCTGGCCCAAAAGACCAAAAATCGTATGTTCTCCTTCATATGTGGACATTAGATCAAGGGCAAACACAACAAGGGGATTAGATTATGAGCACATGATAAAAGCAAGAGCACACAAGGAAGGGGTGAGGATAGGTAAGACACCTAAAAAATTAGTTAGCATTTGTTGCCCTTATCGCAGAGAAACTAAAGCAGATACCTTAAAAGCAACTGAGGCCAATAGGAAAGGGGAACAGGTACTAGAGAAAAGGTTAGATCAAAAAGAATTAACCTAGAAGGTAACACCCACATACAGGAAATCAATGTGAGTCAGTGCCCTGTATAGCTGTCCTTATCTCAACCAGCAAAAACACTTGTTCCTTCCTATTATTGCTTATACTCTCTCTACAACAAAATTAGAAACAAGGGCAAAATAGTTTCTGCTGTGTATTGAGGGGATGGGGGGAGAGGTAGGGTGCGGAGTGGGTGGTAAGGGAGGGGGTGGGGGCACGGGGGAGAAATGAACCAAGCCTTGTATGCACATATGAATAATAAAAGAAAAAGAAAAAAAAATAAAAGTGGGCCAGCGAAGGCAGGTAGGTGCTGCTGGCTTATGCTTGTAATCCAGGTACTTGGAGGGCTGAGATGGGTAGGATCGCCATTCAAGGCAATAAAATAAAAATAAAATACCAAAAGAGAAATCACACACCAAAAACAGTGAATTATAAACATATATACATTGGACAACATTGTTTCAATTTTTATAGACTAATACTACCATGTATTAGTGACAAAAATTAAAGGGGAAACAGATTTTTTAATCCCAGTATAATTGTGTATTTAGCATAGTCTTCTCTATTTAGGGGATAAAAAGAATGAACGAGTGAATGAAGGACTATACCAGGCAAGGAAAGACAATTAGAAGATCATCAGTGCCATTCAAATATGAAGTGGTAAGAGGACTCAGCCAGCATGGTAGCAGGCAGTGGGTAGAGCATGGAGGGAAGGGGGATAATATATGTCTCTTTCCAGAAGCTAAAGCCTGATGATTGCCTGTAGCTAAAATGAGTTATTCTAATATGAAACTCAGATTTCAGATTTCGAGTGCACCTGACTCATGGCAGTTTTCCAAAGTAGTTATTCCCAGCTTCCTTGTACATGTTGTAGATTTTTTTTTCTGTTCTGTATTTAAAATCCCTATAATTGTTTTTACTGTCTGTAAGAGAAAAATCATTAAACCTGGTTTTTCACATAGGATGAATGTTTGATTCCTCTCTTTTCAGTATCTTTTTTTAAACTTTTATTTTATCGTTTTTACATTTACTTACATGTGTATACATTATTTGCTTCAACTTCCCCCTTCTCCTCCCCCTTCCCGCCCTCCCCCGCCTCTTGTTCTCTCAATAGGTTCTGCTCTCTTGTTCTCTGATTTTGTTGAAGAAAAAATATATAAGATAAAAAGAAAAACATTAGTTTTTTGCTAGTTTGAGATGAAGATAGCTATACAGGGAGATTCCTTGTATTGTTTCCATGGATATGTATATTACAATCCAAATCGGTTCATCTCTACCTGACCTTTTCACTACTTCCTAGTCCCCTTCCCATAGTGGCCTCTCTGCATTCATTTAGTTGTTTCTGTGTCTTCTCAAGTCCTTTATTTGTAGTGTCTTGAAATTTCTCGAGTGCATCTTGTACTTTGTGGTTAACCATGTCTAGTAATCTTCTCCATGAGTTTCTCAGTGACCTTGTCTATGATTTCCTCTCTGAGGAATTTTATGGGTATCATTGGGCTCATTGGTGATAGTGATCATTGTTTTGTTGGAGTCAGGAACTAAATCCTCCATTGAATTATATTTTTCAGGAGTTTCCTTCCCTTCTTCTCCCCATTGCTTAAATTGGTGCTGCGCAACTATGTTCTTGATTTGCTAATTGGTTGTTTTAATTGCCTGTTTTCTTTCCCTTGATTTAATTTTTGTGTTATGACTGACTTAGCTGTTAGCTAGGGTGATGTGCTCTTTCTGTCCCTGGCCTGGAGATATAAATTAGTAATACCAAATTCACAGGTTCAATGTCAGACCAGTTGTTTGCCTATTATGTATAAACACCCTTTGGTGATAATATCTATAAACAATGGGAGTTCCCCCCAACTCCCCCGGTAATGGTTGTTTGGCTTCAGATAGAAACTGGATAATTGGTAAAGGTGGCACTAAAAAGGGGGCAGGCAAAGGCAGGGTAGGGGAAGAGGTATGGGGCTGCTGGGTTTTGTGGCTCTTGTGTGTGTTTGGGTGCATTTCCACTGTTGTAGTGGAGGGTGCTGTGTTAGGGATTGCAGGGGGCTGGGGGGTGTGTACAGTTGGCATAGTAGGCTAGTCAGTGGGTGGTGATTGTGTAGGAGGGAGGGATAGTGTGGTGATATATTGGGGAAGGATAGGAGGGGGAGGCAAACACAGGGAGGGAGTGGATGAGAAGGGGTAGAAAGACAGTTGGGAGGGAGAACAATGGATTATAGCACAAGAAAAGAAGGGAAAGTGAAGGGCGTAAGAATAGGGATAAGAAAATAGTGATCGTAAAGTTAATAAAACAGAAAAAAAAAAAAACAAATGAGATACGGCAACGACAAAAAGTTCAGTCTGCTTGGTAAAAGTAGACTTTGTTGTCCAGTCTTGGTTTTGGCACTTGTTATTCTGGGCTTTGTGGGGAAGGGTACTGCCCCTCTTGTTGGACAGATTGAGGTGGAGATGGTTGGAGGGTTTTTCCTTTTATTTCTGTTATCCTTGTTCTTAAGTGCTGTCCATTGCAAGCAGGAGCCCTGATATGGTCTCACCAGGTGACTGGCTTGTGAGCAGTATTTGGTTCCTTCTGTCCACAGGGTAGAATGCAATTGGGACCTGAAGTAACTCACTGCCAGTTCCTGCAACGTGGTCAGATATATTGTTGTTTTTGCCAGGTGGCAGCTATGTGGCCCTACAGCTGCAACTCTGGGTGGTCAGCTCCTCCCAGGAAGGTGGAGCAATTCAATTTTGAGTACAGCCCCACCATGGAGGCTGGTTTGTTGCCCCATGCGGCTCTCAGCCTTTGTTACTTTCCATGCCTTCTTTCACTGAGAGCTTGGCTCCTTACCCCACCCCCATTTTCTGGGGCAGGTTCAGTGTTCCACCCTCCTCTGCTGTAGTGTTAGATTACAGTTCTCTGTTTATGCTTTTGAGTTTTGTCGAGGATGTGCTGGATTAAGTTCCCAGGGGTAGGTAGGGAAGTTGCATGTAGTGTGTGTTGCTCACCTGTTAGTTATGCAGGTTTATGCAGGCAGCTTTGAAACCGGCTGGTGGTCAGAAATGGCATGCTGCTTTTCTCAAGGTAGACACTTCCTGGGACTGGGTTCAATGCAGCTGGGCATAGGGAGGCTTTCTACCAGTTAGGGGTTCAGGATGTCACCGAGTTTGATTCTGGTTGGTGCTCTATCTTCTGCATATTGAAAGAAGAAATAAAGGAGAGATGGCCAGGGGACTTTTCTCCCAGGGCAGACATACCCTTCTTGCTGTGCTACACCAGGATTTTCCTAACTGTTTGGTGCAAATAAAGGCTGTTTTAAGAGTCAGTTCTTGAATTTTATGTGCACCTAATGTGTTGGCTGTTGTTATTTTGGCTAGAAGCAATCAGAATTACCCAAGTGTAGCTCCCATTTCTTAAGGTGGTTTGTGAAGTTATGGAGCTCAGGAATTCTGATTCCCTACCTTAATCGCCATCTTGGATCCTTCTCAGTATCTTTAAAAAACAAACAAACAAAGGGAGCTGGATATAGTTCAGCAGTTGAGTGCTTGGCTACTATTCACAAGGTTCTGGGTTTGATCCCTAGTACCTCCCCACCCCAAATAGTTAACCACCCTTTTTAGTGTCAGTGTGTGAAATTTGAAAATGCATGGTTTTGATACCATGATCTTGTTATGTTGTCTAAGGTAGCCTCCCAAGTAGCTAGGATTATCAGGGAACAAAACCAGGCCAGCTGTAAGTACAATTTCTTTCCCCCCTATGCCTCCTGTAGTTATTCTCTTCCCTATCCCCTAGCAACCACTAATGTTTTTCCCCCAGTTTTTAAATAATTATTTTAAAATAAAAATATTTAAAAATCAAAAAATATACTCTATCATATGTCATGAGGGAAATGCAAATTAAAATGCCCTTGAGGTACCACTAAATACCAATAAGAATGGCCAAAGTCTTGAACACTGACCACACCAAATGATTCCAAAGATGTGGAACAGTAGGAACTCTTCCTTCATAATCAGGTGGAAATGTAAAATAGGATATCTGTGTTTGAAGGAAGGTTGGCAGTTGCTTTATAACACTAACATTCTCAACATACTTGCTCCTTGACATTTAACAAAGGAGTTGAAAACTTTTGTTCCCACAAAACCTGCACATGGATGTTTCTAGAAGATTTATTCATAGTTGCCAATCCTTGGAAATAAACAGGATGTCCTTTGGTAAGTAAGTGGATTAAACTGTGGTTCTTCCAGGCAATTGACTATTACTCAGCAATAAAATAAATGAAGTATGAAATCACAAAAAGACTTGGAGGAAGCTCAAACCTCAAAATCATATTTATTAGTCAAAGAAGCCATTCTTAAAAGCCTGCATAGTGTATGATTCCAACTGTAAGATATTTTGGATAAGGCAAAATTACAGAAAAAGTTGAAAGACCAATGGTTGGTAGGAGATGAGGGGACATAAAAAAGGCAACTCACAGGCTTTTAAAGATGGAGACTGAGACAGAGCTTTAGACCTCCTGAGCTCCTGAACCAGGGACCCTACTGATGTAAAGCACCAGAGAGAGCCAAAAATATGGCATTCTAAACCCTTAGATCCTGGAAGGCTTCTCCATGCCATGATCTAATAAAAGAACAGCTTGCCTGCCAACTCCCCACCCCATAAGCCTGCAGAGTTGCTGCTCCACTCCACCAGGCTCTCTGCCTCTCCGGCTGTGCCAGGCCACAGCTCCACACTGGATCCATGCACCACCACCACCAGGATCCCCACCCCTCAGGCCATGCTGGGCCCTAACCCTATGCCAGATCCATGGCCCACCAGGACCCCTGCCTCTTGGGCCACCCCGGATCCACACTTCCGGGACCGCCCCTAGACTCCCTCCCCTCAGACACTGCTGGGTCCTAGCTCTGCGTGGGACAACCACGCCCCACCTGGATCCCCGCCTCTTGGGCTGTGCTGGATCCATGCCCCTCTGGGACCCCCTCCCCTCGAGTCCCCCACCCCTCAGGCTCTGCTGGGCACCAGCTCCACGTGGGATGACCAGAGCCACACCCCGCAGGGATCCCTGCACCGCAGGGCCTGGCACCAGCTTGGCATGAGACAACTGCATCCCTCAGCCCGCCGGGATACCCTCCCCTCAGGTGGAGCCAGGCCCCAGCTCTACAGATAACTGCACCACCAGGTTCCTGCTCAGGCTGCCACTAGAGGGCTCCCAGCATGCCTAAGAGACACAGATAGGACTAGATGCTAAAGGAGTAACAGAACTAAGACTGCCTGCAATTCTGTTCCAGAACTGGTGATTATTATTATTTTTTCTTTTTTTAAAAAGTATTTGGCTGCCTTGTTTGCTATTTGATCACCCACCATCTCTCCCATTTTTTTTTTTAATCTCCCTTCTTTAAGGATTTGGCTGCCTGGTTTGCAGTTTGATCACCCACCATCTCTCCCACTTTTTTCTTTCTTTTTTCTTCTCTTCTTTCTTCCTTTTATCTTTCCTTCTCCTTCTCTTTTTTGTCCTTCTCTCTTGGTTTTGTTAGTATTAATATTAAATCCCAACTAATACTAAATTACACATAGTTCAGGGACAGAAACAGTACCTAATGGAAATATGGGAAGAAGAAAAAGGGATTTCCCCCCCAAAATAAAGTAGTACAGGATTTAGAGCGAAATGAAGAAAATGGATACTCAGAGCCAGACTCCAACAAAACAAAGATAAACTATACTGAGGAATACAATGAAGCCCACAAGAACACCCTGAAAGAAGAAATCCTACAAGTCATTAATGAGAATGTCATAGAGATGTTACTAGACATGGTCACCCAAAATGTACAGGAGGCACTCAAGAAAAAAATGGGCAACTGAACTAAACAGAACTTTTTCCAAGAAGAAATTCAAATGGCAAAAAAGCACATGAAAAAGTGCTCACCATCTCTAGCCATAAAGGAAATGCAAATCAAAACCACGCTAAGATTCCACCTCACCCCTGTTAGAATAGCCATCATCAAAAACACCACCAACAGCACGAGGATGTGGGGAAAAAGGATCCCTGGTACACTGCTGGTGGGAATGCAAGCTGCTGCAGCCATTGTGGAAAAAAATTTGGATGTTTATAATGGGGGAGGCTATGCTTGTGTAGGAGCATCAAGTATATGGGAATCTCTGACCCTTAGTTTTTCTGTGAAAGTGAAACTTCTCTAAAAAATTCAGAAAAAAAGAAGGAAGAAAATATGCTATACTGTCCACATGAGCTTTCCTAGGATGTGGACCCCATTTCTCACCTAGCTACAGCTTGTGTATAAAAGATGGCAACAATCTGACAGGAACATAAGCCATCTGGGGACTAAGGGAGGATGTGTCACCAGGAGAAGAGATTTGTGAAGACTATACAGTAGTGGGCTAAAGAGGGTGTTGTACAAAGTCAGTCATGCCAAGAAGGTCCCTCTATCTTCCCTAATGTCAATGGAAGTGACTTGGTTCTGAAGTCTTGGACTTTTTTAGACACAGATGACTTATACTTTAAGACAAGGTTATAATGAATGATGTGCAAGACCTCTGTACTTTATGTCACTGATAGAAAGGGCAGAATTGGTAGACTGCAAATCATGTCAGGATTGATATCTGAGCAGAGGGCAGGCTACAAGTGAGCAATCAGGCACATCTGCAGTCCAGACAGTCATCTGCTGCAGCCCAGGTGAACAGGAAATGCCAAGAACAATTTTGGAAAGAGTTATTGTGAGCTGGTATACCAGATATGGTTTGGTGGACACATGACCAGAATGGCAAGTACTCTCCTTGGAGAATACAATAGAGAAGCCTGGCTTCTTGTTCCTGAGTGGGTGGGAGAGCTGTAACTTTGGATTGCTCAGCAAGAATTTTCTTCACACACACAAGGGGGGAACTTCTTGAGCATCTGCATGTTGCTGGGCAGAAAGCAAGTAGCTGTGCCAATGTGTAGAATAAGTAAGCCTGGGTATTGTCATGGCTTACCCAGCTAGGCTTTAAAGAGGACCTACAAGGTGAGACTCCCACCACAACAGATAAAGCTCTGGGCCTGTGTATTTCAGAAGGTATGGGAGGAAATACATAGGAGGGCATGAAAATCACTGACTGAGACAGGTCTGAAAAAATGATCAGATAGAGAATGGGAACCAAAAAATGGAGGCTGAAGGTTAAGCAGATGAGGACTTCAAAATTCTGTGTCCTGAGCAAATTCCAACCACACAGAGGCCGTGTCCTATTATTAAAGTCCCATGCCTTCCCTGATATTGTCTGTAAGTTTCTGCTAAATAATTTCTACTGCAGCAATTAGGTTGTGGTAGCTGTGGCAAAGCCTAGGATTCTCAGGACTTTGTCTTCCAGCCATTGTGAGTGTGTCCACTGAATGTGAGTGTATTACATATGTATAATAAACTGTAAGCATGCTTCAATACATGCATTTTTATATCTCATCCTAACAGCTCTACAAGGACATTGCAGTGATTTTCCCTTTAAAAATTAAGGATCAAAGAAACTGAGAGGTTGAGAGATAACCACTGCTCTACTGTTAGCAAAGATCAGAGCTGACATTCAAGGTAAATCTCCTCCCTCCAAGTGCAGAGTTCATTACAAAGAGGAAAGGCGAAGTACACAATTTAGTCGGGAGAGGGAAATCATAGCTCAGAATGAAGAGACCTGGACTTCTGTGTATCTATGATTAGATAATGTCCCTTGTCTTTTTTTTTTTTAGGTTAATTCTTCTTTTTTTTATTGTTTTATTATTCATATGTGCATACAATGCTTGGGTCATTTCTCCCCCCTGCCCCCACCCCCTCCCTTACCACCCACTCTGCCCCCTCCCTCTCCCCCCCATCCCCTCAATACCCAGCAGAAACTGTTTTGCCCTTATTTCTAATTTTGTTGTAGAGAGAGTATAAGTAATAATAGGAAGGAACAAGGGTTTTTGCTGGTTGAGATAAGGATAGCTATACAGGGCATTGACTCACATTGATTTCCTGTGTGTGGGTGTTACCTTCTAGGTTAATTCTTTTTGATCTAACCTTTTCTCTAGTTCCTGGTCCCCTTTTCCTATTGGCCTCATATCCCTTGTCTTTTGAGTGAAAGGTAGTTAGAAGAGGGATAATTTGTGTCAGCTGTTCTCAGTGACAGCTCCTATCCATTGACACTCTTGTCTTTTACATGGTTCTTCTATAAGCAGAGGAATGAAGTTTGTCTATGACTGTCTTCTGAAAATGTCCCAAATACTTAAGTTCTCTGAAAGGATTATAGGAGTACTTTACTCATCTTGCCCCTCACTCAGCCTTTTAAGTCCATAGTGCTCTCCAAGTCCAGCACCAAGGCTGTTCCACCCACAGACTTGTAGTTCTATAATCCTATTTTTAGGCCTATATTAATTCAAAAAATACTTTCTTACTCACCAGCTCCTTCAAGAAAAGAGATTTCAGGTACCAGTGTTGAGGTCATAATGTTCCCACTGGAAGATCAGAAAATGCTGCATCTGGTGAAAATCTCCTTATAGCCCTGGCATGGGAAGTAACTTCTGCACAGAATTGTCCTCTTCTGACAATTCAAGTCTTGTGTTTTTATGTGAAAACCGCAGAGAAAAAATTGGCCTGACACTGAAGTGTGTGTGTGGAGCTCTGAGTATTTCTAGCTTGTGCCTCACCCACACTGGAATCTGGCCAATAGCAGAGAAGGGAGTAGCTCAGTGCAAAACACTGAATTTCCAGGAATAGGAAAGTGAAAACAAACTTGTATAAGCCTGTTTTCCAATATTAGAGCCATTTCCAGGCATCGAAACTGAAAGGGATCATGGCACAGTTTTTGTATGCTTTTGGCGTGTTGTATAAGCCTGTTTTCCAATATTAGAGCCATTTCCAGGCATCGAAACTGAAAGGGATCATGGCACAGTTTTTGTATGCTTTTGGCATGGTGGGTGAGAGGGGTGGGTGGGCACAAAGAGCCCAGGCAGGGAGTTTCCCAGTGACTGAAGACAGATGACTACAACCATACTCCTGGCTTCAGGTCAGGAAGGATCTGAAGTAAGCCTTAAAGAACACAATGCCACCCACAGATGCCTATATGAGAATTATGATCAGGCCAACCAAAGCCAGATAAAGTATATAATGATGGATATGCCAAAGGAAACACACAAATGTCAAACATTTGAGGCTGGAGGAAAATATGAGACCCATCGCTGAGAGCTTTTTGAAATGAGACTTTTATTGGTAATGATATAATTAAGGTTGAGGCACTTTGACTTGCAGAGTCCTTTGTACTAAAGAAGAACCAAGGTCTCTGTGACCTTTTCCTGTCCTCCTATCTATCCCTCAAAGCAAGAGAGGCTTTCTCAGACTTCTCTTTATCTATCTTGAGATAGGATCCTCCAAAAAGAATTTAATTTTTCTGGATCCCCTCCCCAGGAATGTCATAATGGGGGAGATTGACTTGTGATACAAGGTTGACCCCACATCCAGACTAACTTTGTTGTATACTACCAGTTGTTCTTGTGGCCATTTATTTTTTTTCCCTCAAACCATTTACTGTCCTCTAAATTACCTAGTTTGACCCCTCACCTCTGAGGAGAGTATATCAGCTTTGAAATTTCATTGGTTTGTTTGATGCTCACTTTTCTTCCTTGTGACATAAGAAACTGTGCCTGTTCTCTCCTTAGCTATTTTTATTGTTTGTATTGACTTGTCTAATATCAGTTCATTTCATAGACCAACTTATCCAAGCTTCAGGGGCAACAATTATTATTTTTGTGTTAAAAAAGCTATCTCATTTAATGCCAGCAGTTTAAATCTGATTTGAAAATGGAAAAATCCAGCAGGTCCTGTGCTGCACTCTGGGACTGATTGATTCAAGAGAGCCCCACAATAAAGCCTTCTCTGAAGTTCAGTCCATTACAGAGCCTTGGGAAGAGGGCTAAGATAGGGGCAATAAAATGTGTTATGAACTGTAAGAGCTATATTGTCACTGTAGAGTTGCAATTCCCATTTCTGTTATTCTCCACAAGCTAAAAGAAAACATGAGAAAGGAAAGATATCCCTGGAGACAAGCAGGTACTCAAGGCCAGACTCCATTGGGTGGGTGGAGGGGGCAAGTTTTCATCTTTGGCACCGGGAACTGGTCTTAGCAGGAATCCAGAGCTCCAAGGAATGCTGACTCCAACCCATTTTGCGAAGCACCCTCTGCACCCTAGGAAACAGCGACTTTCAAGATGTCTTAGCCACATATGGGATTCCTAGTTGGCTATCAACATTTTCATTCTCTGGCACCAAAATCCAGAAAACTGTCTCACTCAGTCACTCTGTTATAATCACAAAGCTCTCAGTCCTGAGTCCCCTCCCCTGACCACATCCTTCCTGGGGAGATTTTCCTCCCAATTCCTCATTAGAATGAAGATAGGAGGTCCATTGAGAGGTTAAAAGTCTGTCTAGAATCGCATGACCAGTCATGCTCTCACTGGAGCCTCAAGCCCTCACCTTATCCTTTCAGGTGAGCCAGTCAGAGGAGCACTGGTCCAAGAACTGAGTATAAAGGTAAATCACACAGTGTGATGCAGGGGTTTCTAAATACAACCTAGTGCAGATCATAGACATTGAGAAAAGAACTCAAGTGCTGTGCTGGATAGTCAGAAATTTGTACCATGCAGGAAAGAAGGACAGAGCACCCAGGGAGCAGCTAACAGGGTTCTGGCACAGAGCATCACTGTCATGAAGGCCGTGGAGGTACAGGACAGAGTGAGGAGGTGTAGCTGTGAGGACTCTTCCATCACTGGGAACAACATGTGTACTGGAAGGGGCAATACAGAAACACAACCCAGGGGTAGAAGGAAACTTGTAGATTGAACAGAAGGTGCAGAGCCAGTAAGGAAGCAGCCAATCACATGCCTGCAGACCATTCCCTGGATTTCACACTTTATCTAGCCACCATGCCTTTCCTGGTTAACCACGATATTGTTTCAGCCATGGAATAAAATAGTCATATAGGGAGGCCATCACATTCCCCTCTGCCCTGGGAATTCAGTGGTCCAGTGCATTCCTCTGAATGAAGACATCACCCATGAGACTGGCAATTGATTATGTGGAGATTCACAGTGATAGTGTACTGTGAATCTTTCCTGAGTTCTGAGGAATCTATGGTCAGAAAGAGACAGCAATTAGAGTCAGCATATTCTGAAGCAGCCATGTACCTTGAGCTAGACTAGAGGACAGCTTTGGGTGTAGGGCAAAGGAGCTCCCTAGTGGAGGGGACTTGTACATCTGAATTGAGTGGGTTAGGATGGGGCAAGTGAGGAAGTAAGTAGGGACATCAACCACAAGGAGCAACCTTGTGATAAGTGTCTGAAACTATCTGAGGCGCCAGGCCTCCCAGTATCAAGACTTTAACATTCCACAGGGCTAGGCATCATCATTGAGTCCATGGGCTCCAGGTGGAGATGCAACATAGACACAGGGGACCCTGATCTGAGCTGAACTGTCATGGTCCTCAGAGAGATTAGGAAGGTCTAAAGTTGGACTCAGGCCAGAATTGCAGTGTTCCAGCCCTACCCTGAAAGGGAATGTGGAATTTGTCCAGCCGATTTCTACAAACCAGTAATTTCCAGGAATAGAAACTGAAAGCTGCCTTCATTGGAGTCTCCTCCCTCAGAGCCAAGGCAGGCAGGAGTCAGATAAAGAAATAGCAGAGCAGTTAGCAAGGTCTGCACTATGGACTAGGGACTAGAAGGAAATTCAGTAAGACAAATTATTCTTTCTAGCTCCTCTTCCCTGCTTGACTCTTGGCTTTTCCTAAGAGGACCCCAGACCTCTATAGCTCATTTCTGGGTGTGGATTTCAGTTTTGGATCATTCATAGGGAATGAGGGCTGTGACCTTTCTTTAGGGAGGGGGTCACATTCCAGGAGGGATATGGATGTTTGATCACCACTTCTGAAGCAGGTAAGTGAATGGCTCTTAAATGCAGCTTGGCTAGTCAGTTCTGCTTAATGTAGTGACGTTAAAGGTGGACCTTTAAAGTAGGGCAGGAGATCTAGGGGTCTGGTTTATTCCACTCGGGGAATGTTCTCTGACCTTCTTCAGTACCACAGAGTACCCCAATATTTTTGCTGCTCCAATCCATCCAATCCATCATCATGGAGGCAATGTACCTCTCTCTCACCTACATATTTCTAGCATTATCCCCATTCTGATGGGATAAAGTTTGGAGCACGAGGGTGGATGTGATATATTGTCTGAGCTGAATGCCTTCATTTTCCTCATGGGGATAGACTTTTTCAGAAAACTTCAAAGGCACTGCTTACAGGGTGTGGTTCTTCTTTCTTTGTTTGGCTGCCTCTCTAATTGAATCTGCTGACTGGGCTTCTCCCCAGTCAGAAGGGTCTGCTGTCCTTCCACTGGGATCTGTTCAGAGAGGATAAACTAGAAATGCAATCTATATAGGGTGCTCAGAGTCTTCAGGAAGGAATGTGGGAGTCAGTTACAACCAAGGCTCAACTCTGATGACTTTTTGCAAGTGCTGGCCCCAGTACCCCAAGGGTGTCCATACGAACAGCACCACGCTACTCCTTCTGGAAGTCCATGTAGTCTCACAGAGGCTTACCCATATCTTTTCCTAGTCTGTCGGTACCATGAGCTGCAGCAGAGCATAGCCCCAGAATACCCTTGGGACTGGAATTCAGGCAAATCACCTATCACTGTGGTGATAGGTATCAGGGTGTAGGGAAATGGCCAAAGAGACAGTAGGTCAGGGAGCTGGGATTTGGGTTTGGAGGGTATAACACTCAGATTGGCCCTGTTTACATAAATGATTTGGAAAATATAGGGTTTGGGCCTACACCCCACACCTGTCTTGGTGAGATCAATACCCTACCCTAGTCTCTCCACAAGATAGTACATTTTCCAGAGGAGTATGATGAGCTCTTTAGGTGACAGAGTTAAAGGCAGAAATGCAAATTTATCTGTCAACCAGCAAGTGAAGTGTATATAAGAAATTATGTTACGCTTTACTCATCAAACAAAAATGTGTTAAATACCTGCTGGATACTAGAGGCACCGTGCTAGAATCTGATGGAATTATTTTGATGTAAATGGCAAGATGCACATATACTTTAATCTGCTACTAGGAGTCTAAAACCTATAGAAATGATATTTTTTGGTAAGTTAACCTATTGTGAATACTGTTTGTGTTATTTATCAAAAGGGAATTTGGTGGGGGGAGGTAGCCCAAATAATGTATACACATGTAAGTAAATGTAAAAATTTTATAAAATAAAATAAAAAAAGGGAGTTCAACATTTTATGGGGTATGTATGCATATGGAGACTTGATATGATTCAGACAAATTAGCCGGGATGATTCAGGGACTGATGCCCACTTCTGAGCTCTGGCTTCCCATCCCAATGGTATCCCTGAAAGAGCATTAAAGTTTTCATAGACCCAGAGTAGAGATAAACTTAAATAGACGCAGAATGCATAGCATGCTTCAACGTCAGAATAAAGCCTTTCCCACCACTAAACAAAGACCTTGGTGTTTTTTGGGAGGTTTCATTCTTCTATTTTCATATATAAATACAAACCAGACCCGCCATATTCACCTTCATTTACCCTTTCTTTTGCTCACCCACCTCCCACTGGTGCTCACCCACCTCCCACTGGTACCCACACCTGGAAATGACCTATGTTATCCTCCTGCCCTTCTTTTTTAAAAAAGTGTATATTAGTATACACTTCAGGCCTGTATATATTGTGTTTTAATCAAATTAGCCCCCCATTATCACTCATTAACCCCTCATTATCACTGTGCTCCCCTAATATTCAACAGCTTACGGTACAGTACATTATATTATATTCATATATGTATGTATATA